TGTCTCGGCGAGTGTCCATGCTGAACTGGGTGCATCGACCTGCGGGGCATATTTGGTCGCCGTGGTGCACCGGCCGACGCAGCGATATCTGACGCACGGGACGTGCCGAGCCAAGAACAAGAAGGGTGCAGTCGACGTCAGCTTGTTACTCGCTTTTATCGATGCTATGGTAGGAGTACCCAGAGCCGGGTGGCGCTGTGGTGACTACTGGGAAAGGGGACGAGGTCCATGACTGGTTCGCGATGCCGGGGGCGTGCTGGTTCCTGTCTTGAGCGTTGCGACTTGGCCACGCGGTCCCACGGCGTGACGAGTCGACAACAACAGACAGCAAGATGCCGAACAATCCAAAGAGTGAGAGTCGGTGATCCAAGGGAGGTCTCACTGAGCGAGGACGCCGAGCAAGGAAGCATGGTTGGGTGTGTGGAAACAAACAGCTTGGGACGTGCGGGAGGCTGCGAGCTGTTTTGGAGAGGGCCACGATGGACATTCGACGGCGAGGCTGGGTGCTGCTTTCAGGTGGAAACCACCAACAAACAGCGAGGGGGTGTATGCCATCACATGCATCCGAGGGACGAGGCGGGCGGCGGGACAGACATACGAGGGGGGCGAGCGTTTGAAGACTGAGGTGTCGGCTCCCCCGGAAGCAGGGGACGCGGTTTCGACAACGTGGTGAGTGCTGGTCTCTCGGAGGGGTGTCCGGCTGGACGACCATCACTGAGCCGGACACTTGGGTGAAACGTCGTCGCGAGATCTTGGCGCCTCGACGAAGCGCGACGAGGGCTGGGTCGGTCATGTCGCGGTGGCGACAAATTGGACAGATTTCGCAAACTCTGGTTTTGTTTTATCTGTAGCCTACCCTGTCGAATTGTGTTAGTTTGGATCCAACTTGTAGCAACTTGTTGCAGCTGATGCCAAAATCGCACGATTTTACAACCATTACTTTGTCCGCTGCATCCGCACAACATTTCACTTGGAGCCACCCTTAATAGCCATCATGTCCGACAAATAATTGCAACCAGACGCCGACTCCTTAGCACGGAAAAGGTGGAGTGATCCCGACGATCTAAGCCTCCTCACACAGGTCAACAATGACCGTCCGGGACCAAAGGTCTCTCCACGACGCAAGCCAGTAGACGATACAGTCTCATGCGCTTGCGGAAGTTCGCCCCACGTCGCTTCTGGAGCACTTCGATCTCATTGCTCGACAACATTTTGGGAGGAGGTGGGCATTCAAGATGCCACAAGTTGATTGGATGACTTGCGAATTTCATTATTTGTCAAGGTTCATTCGAACCGTGTTCTGAATTTTAGATCGGAGGTACTAGTAGTACTAGAATAGAACCAGCGTTTGCGAAGTCTGTCCATAGCCGTGAATTGGTTGCGTTCTGTTTAGGCCAAAATAAAGTATTGGAGGTATAAATAACAAAGAGGTGCTACCGTTTATGGGGGGGAATCATGCGACGTGCAACAGCAGAAGATTTTGGTAACTGGAGTTTGCGACAGCGTCATGTCGGCCAAGCGGAGGAAGGGCGACGTGGAAAGCATCCAGGTCCCGTGCGAATCCCTGCCACGCGAGATCATGTTCCGGATCGCCCAGTTCCTCCCGGATGAGTTGTCCTTCGTTGCGTACATCAAGGCCATTCATGGAACGACGATGGCCGACGAAGCGACGGACGCGGTGTGGAGGTTTTTGGAACAGAATGCCAGCCACTCGCGGTTGTGGCCACATCCGCAGCTGTATCCGATGCGTGGTACTCTGTGGGACCTCGCGATCCAAACGATCCCATTGTTTTCACGCGTAGAGCTGCACGCATTGGACGAAGCGTCGCGGTTCGTGGATGTTGTCGGTCCGTCGACTAAATTGTTCGTGATCCACTACTGCTCGCACAAACCAGATCCAGAGCGCATGTGGAAATGGTTTGACGAGCTGGTTCGCCTTCCCGTGTGCGGACTCAAGTGCATGATGTGTCGGGGATATTGCGACAGCACGTCGCCGTTGATTTCGAATCTGTGCAGGTCGTGGCCAGGGTTGGGGCACCTCCGGACATTGGAGATCTCGATCGGCGACGAAGCGTTGCTGGTGCTCCTCTGGCGCTGCTTGGCCTCGTCCCGCATCACGAAATTGTTTCTACAGGCCCCCATGTGGGGTCACTATAATCCGAGGCTGTCGGCCCCCCTTGCGCTGGAAGGTGCGATTTGGACGGATGCCGTGGCGTGGCTGCGCTCGGCCGAGGTCGTCCAGTTTCACCTGGAAAGGTTTCGAATCGACTGTAGCGGCGGCGCCATGGACGCGTTGAACACGGCGTTTGCTGTGTCGATCGCGATGCGGGTCTCGATTGGAACACGTGCACCATTCGCGTCGTCGCGCCAGTCATGTTTCCGCCGCGGCTGCAGCGAGTAACGCTGCATAGCTGTGCATTCGAAGGCATCAAGGTCGACACGTACTTTAAGTTGCTGCCCGGGCTCAGCCACCTCGTGCGACTCGACTTGACCAACCTTCGCATGACCCCCACGGATGTCGACGCACTGGCAAGTGCGCTGGTCCAGTCGCATGTCGCTGTGCTGTGTCTGAACAAGGGCTCGTTGAACGTGCACGACCAAGACTGCATGATCCGTCTCGCCAAGGCGTTCGAAACCACTGCGACGCTGCACACGCTCAACTTGTCTGGCAATGTGCTTAGCTTTGAAGTCGTCGATGCATTTTTGGCGGCGACCGAGCGGCGGCGCTATATGACCAAGGAGGTCGTCTTGCCTCTTGTGCGGAAGCAACAGCAACAGGCCGAGATTTGTCGGATGATTAAGACGCGGTTGCCGCCCACCGTCAAAGTCACCCTGACACGCTAGCGCTTGTGGTGGACAAGTGGCCAGCTTGCCTTGCCTGGTTTCCGCACAACGTGGGCAAGAGCTGGTGTGGAGAGCGTGGTGGGTGTACCAAGTCCAGAGGTCGCCGGCGACGCAACCCTCTGTGGACGTCCCATCGTAGTATAGGTCCTGTACGGACGCACGTAGGAACTGTTCGACTTTCAGTGCATGACGCCCCGATGATTCAGTCCATCGAGGCAATTTCGAATCTGCATCCCTCTGCACGTTTGGATGCAGCGCCGTGACAGACGACGATGCGTCTATGTCAAAGGAACAAGGGCACAAGACGTCCTCGCCGTCCAAGGCGGTGGTTGCGCTGATGCGGTTGGACTTGAAAGGGCGTATTCAGATGGTGTGCCCTCGTCGCTGACCATCAGCGACCGACGATCGCATTCTAGTCCGTCTTCGTGATCTGCCGCCATCGTGGCATTCTCGTGCTTCCTTTGGTCGTTCCTTTATGCTCGCCAAGGACAAGGGAATGCCCAACACGCCTCGCAGGTCCATTTGTCAACTGAGTCACGTCTGGACGGCGTTGAACCGACAACATCCGTCATGTTCCTGGGTCGAATGCCTACGACAGCATCGTTATGCTGAGGCGAGTCCGGAGACTTCCACGGATGTTCTCGTTCGGTTCGGCGTGGATAAATTCCCCACGTTGGCCGGATCGAAGCGTCACCCTACTCCCTCCAAGGGCGTGCTGGTGACGTTGGGCGGCATCTGCTCAACGAGACGTCCACTTGTCTTGGGCGCGGTTCGCGAAAACGAGTTGCACGGTTAGCTTTCGATCACGATTCGCATGGCTTCCAGCTCGACATTGTTGACGACTTTTTGTTCGACATCGAGAGAGTGGAGCGATGCGCATGGCGCTGGCTTCTCGTTTGAATGGCTGTCCATGAAGGGTGGCGCCACTTTACCCAGTGTAGAGTTGACGTGCGTGGAGTGACCAGGGCAAGGCCAGCGGAAACGTCACAGGCACCTGGCATTGCTCGACGCCAAGCCCTTCATCGTCATGGAAGCTGCTAACGTGTTGGCAAGCGATGTTACCGTAGCGTTGTCGCCGCCGATGCGGTCGCTCCCCGCGTAATTTGATCGTTCGTTTCAAGCGTCATAGTGAGAGGGGCCAGAATCGGCGCCGTCGGAGGTCGATGTCTTTCGAGCAAAGTCGGGCAAAAGCTTGGCGTTTGAAAGGCCAACTTGGTGATGCTTGGCGTGGCAATGCGTTCGCATTGCATGTCCATGATACCAGCGACTTGCACGGAAGCGCGTGATATCGGGCAGTCCAAGGACGAGTGACTTGTGCGATCGTTGTCTCGGCGAGTGTCCATGCAGAACTGGGTGCATCGACCTGGGGGGCATATTTGGTCGCCGTGGTGCACCGACCGACGCAGCGATATCTGACGCGCTGGACGTGCCGAGCCAAGAACAAGCAGGGTGCAGTCGACGTCAGCTTGTTCTCGCTTGTATCGATGTAATGGTCACCCTGAGCTGGGTGGCGCTGTTGGTGCTGTTGGGTATAAGCTACTTTGCAACGCGAAGTTC